CCTACAATAGGAACTGTGCAAAATCATACATGAATTGTGCCTTCACACAGTACATTTCACACTGGGAACCTGACTCATCACTTCAGGTCACCATAGGACTTTTCTGTGTCAGACTGGGAGTGTGAAAGATCTCAACTTCCTCATCTCTTTCAGGGAAGTAAAAACAGTGGTTTTTTTATACTGATTACATTCCACCTTACTGATATTCTTTTAGCTTTTCACCTTTGAAAATCTAAGTATAAAAAAGAGCAGCCAAAAATCAGAAGGGACTAAAAGAATCCCCTATCTAAAACCAACTGTAATCTTGTGCAGCCCAACTGGCTGCAATGGGTTTGTTTCCACTTACACTGATGTTGAGTTTGGAAGATGCTCTAGAAGAGAATAAATTTTTTTTTAGCCACTTACAAGTTGCAGTAAATGAAAGACATTAAAATGTAACAGGTTCTAATATCCATCAAACAATACCAAACAAGCTAGTCAGTCCAAATTTACCCAGCAACACTAAAACCTACTGATCAGTTAAAAGATTTCTCACATTAAAAGAGTAATGGAGTCTGTTATCTGTAGCTGTTCCTGTTTGATGCATGAAGCCATTTCTAGATCTAGGAAACAAGATGATACTATTTGTCATTCTTCCTCTAAATGGGTGGAAGGAGGAGTAGGGGGGGGGAAGCTCATTTGCGATAATTCCCATTTTGACTCATTTGGCATGTTTGCAGAAGTGTCATATGTTAGTTGCTTACACCACAGCCTTCCCTGCTGCACCCATTTTCAAGGTGGTTGCTGATTAAAGCAGAAAGCTTTGAGGGAGACTGGCTGATGATTCTTGTTAAACTGGAATTTCCAAGCCCAGCCTGAAATAAAGAACTTTGTTCCTGCCCTTTCAACGGACAAATTCCATCTCTGCCCTCAGATTCAGAAGCACAGGTACCACCAGCTCAGGTCTTGCTCTCGGTTACTTTGCATAACCCCTTTGAGTGCAGTGGAGGGTGCCTCCATTTGTGACAGCTAAGCTGGAACATGTTATTTTGGGCAGAGCACTTAAAAGTGCACACTCAGGAATGTCATGATACCGGGGTATTTTTTTTTTAATTTGTGCTCAGGAGGTTTGTACCAGATACCCTGATCAGAATCGGTCAGAATAGTTTCCACATGCTAAGCACTCCCAGCTTCTGACAACTTAAGTATGAGTTATTCCAGTTCAGAAAACAATGTCATTAATCTTTTTTTTTCTTTTCCTTTTTCTTTCTAATCTAATCTTTCTAAGACTCACTAAATACCTTTGCATTTTATATAGCTTATAAGTTAATCTCTTTTACCATAGGAACAGCCACTGGACCTTATCGTCTGTGTTAAAGCCACACAGCTGGTCCATAACGCTGTTTGCTTGCCTAAGTGGCTCCATTTGTATCGAAAGTTTCAGCATTTGTTAGCCCAGCTGGGAGCAGATGCTTGAACTAAAGTGTTCTGATCAGCTACATTCCTGCACTATGACATCCTCTTACTCTGTGCCCTTTCCCAGAGGAACTGACAGGTTCAGGAGAGAGTGGTGTTAAAAGAGCTGCTATTAAAATAGCTCACCAGAATTCAGGAGCTCAGTGGGCACAGGTTAGGTGAGCAAGTAAGGTCTGCTGGGTCCCCTCTTAAACATCTCCTGCTTCCATTTTATCAGCATAAATCTTAATATTTCTGCTGAGTTGTTACCAGATATTTCAGCTGCTATCTTGAAACAGAAATTCTGGCATTGGTTTCTGAGGGATCTAATACTTTTAGATTAATGATTACACCTTCCTGGGACTTAGTAGGATCACCTAGGAGATGTGTGGATTGTATTTTAGAAGCACTGCAGAACCAGGTTTCTTAGGTATGGATAATCTTCTTGGGGATATTAAAAAAGAAGCAGTCATTTTCTGAGAGATATTTTCTATACGCAGACCTCATTGTGTTTTGTTGTGTTTGTTGCTTTTTCTCTTTTTTTTTTCTCCTGGTTCAAATGCACAATAAACTGACCAAATCAGCTATACTGTTATCAAAAACTTTTTTTTTTTTTTAAAAGTGACATCTTCTGTCAATGGGAGAGGGAAACTGTAGGAATACTATTGGCCTCTATAATTGCAACAGAAGATAAGGGACTATACAGCCAAGCTACTTGAGCAATCAAAAATATCTCACAGAACATCTTTTCTTCCTCTAAATTCATTCTGCATTTTTTTCCCCTAAATGGTCTTTTTGCCTCTTTACAATCTCCTCACTTGATCAAAAAGGTTTTTCTTGCCCTTTGAATCAGAGACACCTTTCCTATCTCTCTCTCTGTCCTTCATGAACTTGCACTTGAAAGCAGGTTTCTTCACTAGCTTGTGCTTCCTCATATCTCGCTTTCTGGAATCATCCTAAATTTGTATCTATTGTTACACTCTATGAAAGATTTTTGGATACAACTCGGATGAATGACATCGTACAAAACAAAGTGCAATTGTCAACAGACAAACCCTTTCTCACACAGTGGCTACAGTAAGAATTTTGATTAAGGCTGTCAGTGCTTAACTTCAACTAATCTCCAGACCAGAGAAACAAAACTGAATTACCTCCAGAAATAATAGAACTGGTTAACATTTGCCCCATTTCTAGATAACCTGTGCTAGAAACTTGTGGCTCTCTTCCTCCCCTCCAGCTGATGCAAGAGATCTGTTACTACCGTTTAAGTGGTTTAAGTAACAGAACTCCTGATTTCACTGCTGGGGGGAGGCTACCAATACCCAGAGCAGGATAGGACACCTATACACCACATTTGTGAGCATGGATCAGACATTACACACATGGATGGATGTGCACAATGGAAATTTCATGCAGAATTTGGAGGCAAAGGGGATGAGGCAAGAAAAGTGCACATGAGCATGAATGTGTTTGATAACTTCAATCAGCAAGTATAACTCACATACACATATAAAACAATATCCTGGCTTTTTCACACTGTGTCAAGCAAAAATATTTCTCCTCCTGATTTCACTGGGAGCCAAGATGAGTGGAAGCCAATGCAAGTTGGTAGTTACTCTAGGTGAACTTCAGGACTTCTTTGCTCCACTGAAACTACAGGAAAATCCCACTGATCTTGTGGTGGACCAGGATTTTACCCCAGAATGATGGAGTGAAATAGAAAGCAGAAGTGGCTGAACTGTTGCTAATCAATATTGCAAAAAGTTATTTTTCTTTTGTTCTTAATTCCCTTTCTAATATGTAATTATTTTGGTAATGCAAATTGCCCTCTGTAGGACATATAGTAATTCTGTGAAATACGTGCAAATTAAACACTTATGATGTGGAAAAACACCTGCCCCTGAATGAGTCATTTGGGTCCGCACAGCAGCCTAACTTTATAACCCAGTGTCCTAACACAACTAATTTTTAAATCTGCATTATCATTTCAATCTAAAGTTCTTGACTTTTCTTCTTTCTGGAGGAAATCTGGAGGATTGTCTAGCTGTCTTTTTCTTTTGTGACAGCCTTAGAAGCAGGATAGGGAGGAAGGAAGAGAAGCTGTATGTCTCTCAGGGGACCAGAGTCACTAGGAATCATTGCAGGTATCAGTCCAACCTGTTTAGGCTCTTTGCATCACTTGAAATTTGTGATGAAGCTCAGTTTACACACATTTCCAAAAGATACTAAAAATGACCCCATAGCTCTGTGGATTCATTGCTGTTGCGACAGTGTGAGGAAAGAGGAGTAAACTGTGTCCTTCCAGTTGATTTAAAAAAGCAATGGAAATCTGCCCTCTTGCCAAGACTTGAGAGACAGTCCAGGTCTAACCTGTGCTTTTGTTGCTACATTGGCCCCTGAATATGGACAAGGGAAAAAAAGCAGTTTCTATTTATTTAATGCTCCAAGGAATCACAAGCTGCATCAGTAACACCAACTCAAAACCCCAGATTTTTAGTGTGCTGAATTATTTCTACATTTCAGGTTTCAGTGAAGGGGAGATAGCAGATTTAGGATAAGAATTAACAAAGTAAAGCCGGAATTAAAAAATATCATGTGTATTCTTTGTGTGTGCTTTAACTAGTCTATAACTGACTGCTAACACGAGGCATTTATCTTGTGACCACTGTGCTAATTGCCACCCACCTAGTGGTCTACCTTGATTTTTTTTCCTTGCAGGGATTTCCCGCCTTGCAGGGATGTCCCAGCTGCTCTGAAGCAGGAGGTGAACCACCATAGTGGCAGGCAGGTTGCTCTGGTAAACCTGCACCACCTCCACTTTTCCTTGATAAACACACCGTAAATTGTAGGTGGTTCAGTACCTGCTACATGAACAATTGAGTCATCCCTGTAGCCAAAGCATGAACCTCTAGAACAGGGGTGTGGGAACAATTACAGCTCTCCCATAATAAACCATACTGGCCTGTGAATCAGTACCCTGAGGCCCAAGTTTTATTGCCTGTGCCCAAAAACTTGCTGCTGTTTGGCCTTAGTCCTGTAAGCTGCCTGTGAATTTGCACTCCACCAGAGCACAAACCTCGCACAGTTAACAGCTCGCAGGCTGGGTACTGAAATCATCTGAAAAATGACTAAAAAGATAAGATCAACTTAACGTACAAGGCCCTTAAAAAACCCTCCGAGTGACTGCCTCTTCTCAGTCTTCTTGAAGGAGGGTTCCTTTGAAGCGTCTCCTCCGTTCTGGATGGAGTCAGTCTCGGCCGCTTGCTGCTCCCTGGAGTCTGGCTGCTCCCTGGGTTCCTGTTTGCTGCCTTTCTGCTTGCTCAGCTCCACTGTAGACTTCTTGTCTTTCAAACCCTCTTTGCTCTTTTGGCCCACAGGTTCACTTTCAGCTGGGGTAACTGGCCTCTCTGTGGAGTTTAATGTCTAAAGCAGTTTCAAACAATGGTTATTTTTAGTGTGAAATGTAAACATTTTGGAAGGCGATCCATAAATATATTAAAAAATGAAAGGCCACCTGGCAGGGAGAAATCCTGCTGTTCAACAGGTTTTCATTTACAGAGTTTGGGACAAACTCCTGCAGCCTTGACTTAGGGAAGGACTCCCAGAGAGCTGACAGAATTACTTACATGAGCAAAGACTGCAAGATCAAACCATCCCTGAATAAACTTGGTTTATTTACGTATATGTCTACACTAAAGCTGTTTTAAGAGGCAGAGAATATGTATGGAAAGATACAGAGAGTCACAAGCATGCATTGCCAACTGAGATTCCCCTGGCTTTTGCAACCAGGCTGTGAAAGCACCCAAAAAGTGCAAGGGAAAGGTTTGGGAAAGAAAAGAAGAGACACTACAAAGCAAAGGATAAAAACAACTCTGCTATAAAACTGCAACACTCCACCAAGAAATTAACAACATCGAGTTTGGCTATGGAAGGCCACAGCATCATAGAAAGTTTCATGTACAAGTGCAAAAGAAGAAAGAGCAAATATTCCAAAGACAAACACAATGACAGAGCACCTATTTATAGCAAAGGAAAAGATTCTGAAACTCAGAAAAGTACGGGATATGTTTGAAGTTCGCAGAAGAAAAATCAGATCTGGCAAACAAAGGATAAGACAATGAAGCAGTTGCAGTTTGCAGAGTAGTAAATGATTAGATATGTTTTTCTTAGGACATCTGTTTGCAAATGGGATTTTATTTTTTCTTATGCAAAAAATCATATTGCCTTATTTATTAACATCATAATTAAAATAGCACACAAATTTGCCATGCTGAAAAGCCAGAAATCTTACATCTGCCCTAAGGGCACAGCCCAAAGCTTAATGCTGTGTAATTTTTTCCAACTTTGGGGATTTTACCATTAATCTTGAAGTATTTGGTGTTCTAAAGGCCTAGGGTTATACACTTACATGACAAGCTTAGCTTTCCTTAAAAACAAATACATTTTTAGACATAATGATTTCAGAGAAAAACCAGAAAGTAGAAACTCTAGAGAAACAGAATGCAAATACACCTCTCGTATCTATTTAAAAAAACCCAAGCCACTCTAATTTTGGGGAAACAAGAATGAGAGGGGGTAGCAATACTACCACTGGCCTTTTTCACTTCATTCACCTTTCTTCTCCACCTAATCTTAAAAAGAACACATTTAAATTATAGAACCTGCAATCATTTAACACTTTCAGTCTTGACCAGTTAGTTTAAGTCCTCAGCAAAATACATGCTTGTACGAAACTATTTCCTTTTCCAAAGGACAGACATACGTGGATATATAGATTTGCTTACATCTGGATTTGTCTGCTTTTAGACTTTAAAAAAATACAGTCATGAAGGTAGTCCTTGCTCTAGTTCTGCAGGAGATATGTGAAGACAGCACATGAAACCCGGAGATGCAGGTGATTAGTAGTCCCACACACCACAGGCAGGCACCATCTGAGTGTCAATAGTTTATTAAAGCAAATTCGATAACCTCTGAGTACCTGTCATCTGGGGCTGCACAGACAGCAGACACTACCTGCATCTTGTTCACCTCACTTGAGGAGAGAGACCTGCTTGAATGCACTTCTGAGTGCCCAAGTGATGCAGGAGCTCTCCCAGCACAAGGACGAACAGAACTTCATAAACTCAAATTTCATTCTGTCTCCTTCTGACTCATTTCAATGATCAGATGGGAAGGTCTCAGTTCCTGAACCCATCAGTTAATTTGACAAGGTCCATCTTGCTCTTATTTGCCTTAGCTCACTTTTGAAATGTTTCTCTTTTGTACAATTGCAAATGTGTGCATTCAACTCAAAAATAACCACAGCACCCAAAATACAGCTATGAGACTGGATATCTCCGAGTTCAAAGGTGCCAGAACAGCTTTTGACCTTTATTAACACTCTGAAATCTGTGGGTTTATTCTGCGGGTGTAAAATTAGAGTAGAATCTTCCTCACCACACGTGTTTGATTGTGTAGGTGCCTGAGAGTTACAGTATTGCAGCCAAATCCAAACTGGATGCAACCGGACTATTTCTGAGAGCAGGTTTGGGTCTTTGATGTTAGTCAAACAAAACACTTAAAAAAAGATTCATAATACATTTTCCAGGCAAAATAAGGAAAAAAATTCCAATCAGATAATCTCTTTGAGGTGTTTCATATTAATCTTGAAAGGCAGGAAATTGGCATATTTTATATTGATGGGAGCAGCTCAGGAAATACAAAGTGAAGCCTATGAATAATGAAACATGTTAATGTTTCTTATTCTAAAGGGTGATCTGCACCTGACAGATTGCTTTTACTCTCTCTACATTAACAGTGTCACTGAAAAAAAAAATCCAAACAAACAAAATTAGCAGGACAGTGTTTTTCCCCATCATGTTACAGGGGACCTAAATCTAAGGCTGTTTTTTTAAGTACAGAAAGGAAGATTCCTAAATTTCCACAGATTTTGGATCAGTGTTGTAGTGCATTTCTGTAGCATACAGAATGGCAGTGATGAAAAGCAAAGAAGAATCACAGCATTCCAGAAATGCGACAGCATAATTTAAGGACATCATTTCACAGTAATTCTAAAAAAGAAAAAAGTCAACAGCAGATACAGTCTTCCTCGAGCTCTTCTGTGTAATAAACCTGTGCTAATTTACAGCAGTGCAAGCAAGAGAAGGAAGAAGTTGATTTAAAAAAAAATGGAAGGAAAAGGTTAATTAAAATAATAAAAAATAGATCCAGGACTGTAACTTTTACTCACTTAGATAATTTTACAAATCTGCTGTATGAAATAAGGAATAAATATCACAAGACAAGACCTTCTATATCTAAGATACTTTTAGAGAAATAATTCATAAAGATTAACCTTTTTATCATAGAACATCATGAAAAAAACGAAGAGTGAGAAAATAATTTTTCTATTAATTAAAAAAGGAAATAAAGGAAATTCTGAAAGGTCAGTTTTCAATACAACTTCAGTTTTGCTCTCAGGTTAAAGGAAATCCTATGTCTACACACAGAACCTGGGTTTTATCTCTCATTACTTGAATATAATTATTCTTGATATCTTGACTTGCAGCAGATTAGAGTTTGACTCTTAGAAAAGGTAACGGTATTTGTATATCTAATGAAAATGTGATTTTTCTGAAGCCATAAAGAATATTATGAAAAGCTCACATACAAAGTTTTGGTTTAGCTTTTACAAACATAGATGGAAATAAACAAAAACAGAATAAGAAATAATATTTTTACAGCTTTTGTTAAATTGCAGTGAATGGTTTTCATTCTCATTTTAATTTCTCTTCTGTAGACTTTCTACCTAAATGATCATCAACTCAGCAGACAAGTAAATCAAGTAAATTATTCTAGCTGTGTGTATCTAGTTTCACTGCCTAAGCCAAGGCAAGAAAGTAAAATAATAGCAAGAGATAGGAATAAAATGGAACATAAAAAGACTATTTTAAGAAAAGGAACACAACTAGAAAAAAGCATTTTAAAAAAATCTGATAGTGACTCTTTAAAATCTTGTTTAATAGCATGAATAGGTAAAAGAAATAGGTAAGTAAAGAAATATGTAAATATATGGAGCTCAGTGAGCATGCAGCACTTTTCTTTCAGTGATTTTCACGTTTCAGAGCTAGAGTTGTAGGGAAGTAGGTGACAACCCATCACCAAAAGATGAAAAAATCTAGGCACTTACTTGGTGACTGGGGCTTGGGTCATTTACCTCTTCTGAACTGGTTGTCCCTCCATCACCCTTGACTGACTAAAATAACAAAGGATTATAGGACTTCTAACTGGGTTCCTGTTTGAGGCATTAATTCAATATGAAAACACACATGAATCCAAAAAATGCAAGGTTTGATTTAAAGATTCTGTTTACAATGCTAAAACAAAACCAGATATTTTTGAAACTACCAACATTTTTTAAATACCCACTTCTCCCAGGCAGATTTTTGCTAGTTCTTTTCTATGTGAGATGATTGTCCCTTGCAAGTCAATTTTCCCATTAAGGCTTGAGAAACATGAATGAGGTCTCAGTGGACCAGAGATCTTATCAGCCAGTAAACAAGACAGTGCTATCAGCCCTGCCACGGGAGTTTTCTAGGAAAAAGCTTTTGCTTGCTTTTCAGAGACCAATCTGTCTTATAAGATCTAGTGGGACTTCCTTTCTATTTAACCACCACACAAAGTGCATAACCCGTGAATAATTAAAACGCACTATGCTTTATGGATATATTTTTATATTTTATCATCAGCATCCATTTTTCTCAATTTTTGCTTTCCATTTATGCCTTCTCTCTACATACATCTCAGTAATGGCCCTTCCTGGTGCACACTCTTCTCAGCTAGGACAATCAGAGCAGACCCTGAGGCTGCAGCACTAGCAGGTCATTCAGAGGAAACCTTGACTCTGAAATATGTTTTTAAGGTATGAGCCCCCGTTTCTATCTAGATTTAAAAATGAGGAAAATCTTGTTTGACAAAACCAGCTCAGCGAGGAAAAAATTACAAGATTTGTGACAATTATTTAGTTACAATTAGTAATATAAAAGAAACAAAAGGAAAAGTATGTACATGTTTAATTAAAAAGCATGTCAGAGGGTGCAACGTGGTATTCTCTTGAGTACCATATAAACCACAGAGCTTAGCAGTAAAGTATAAAATAAACTCCAGAATTTCAAAGTGCCCAAATTTAAATGTCATTTTTCATTGCAGAAGTTCAATGAAAACAATGAAAGGATGTGACTTTTGTTCTAAAGATAGATCAGGCAGATTTGTGGTTTTCTGCAGCTTGTAGATTTGTTACTTGAAGCACAACAGAATCAGCTTGATCCTGTGTATGGCATTATTGCAAGGGCTGATTTCACTCTCTGACTTTCCTATAAACCCACAGAAAATCAATATGTAGCAGCAGCATGATAGAAAACTAAATCACTTCCTGACAATTCATTATTTGTCACAAATCATGTGAAAAATTCTCTTTCTGGAACATGCTGCTGCTCAGTCTCTTGCATGTTTATGCTCGTGACTCTTTATCTGTGTAAGAGGTTGCAGACACGGAGGGGAGGAAGCACAGTGTGGTCTGTCTTAACATTACAGCATAGAAACTCAGTCCAGAGTGTATGAAGATGTATTGTGATAAGATCTAGCTTGCATTTCTATTTCAGTAAGTTTTTAAATGCCTTTGGGGGGAAAAAAAAAGTTTATGCTATAGCAGCAACCACTTTATTACCTTTTTTCCCTAAAATAATAAAAAAATAAATAATAGACTAAAGACCTTGAGATCTTTGCCTAGACAAAGTTCCCTTTTGCCTTCAGTAAAATGTATACATAAAGATCACAAGGATTTCTCTCTAGAGCGCTGCTGACCTCTTATCCTTACCTTTGGTTATTTAGCATTGCTGCTGCTGAAAGCTTCCTGAAAGTATTTTCTGCTTTCTGTGGCAATAAGGGTTGATCAGCATATCTTTAAATGGAGTAGGGTGGGGACAGGGAATAGACTTGCTACACTTTTAGGAATAATGAAAGAAAACTAAGGTGGGACAACATAAAATAGTAATTCTTGATTCCAAATACTATTTATTACATAAAAGTTTATCTACACAGGGACATAGGCCAGCTCACACACTGCAGACAATTAGGAAATAATATTTTTTGCTATTCCAGAAATTGATCCAGAAATAGGACATTTTTAGGCAGCCCCCCAAAATGTTCAAATTACCCTGCTCTGAGCTCCACGGTGCCAGAATTATGCTGCTACCAGGATGTGAGCTATTGCAAAGCTGGCTCAGGAATTCCTCTACTTTATGGCTGTTCCTGTAGGGTAGCCAGACCTCAAGAGAAAACTACAGTGGAAACGGACCTTTTCTGAGTGGAAATTATACCTTCCAGTACAGAGTCTGCAAATATGGCTATTCTGAGCAAAAGGGCCTATTAGAGATCTCTACAGTACTCAGCTCAGCTCTCAGCCCCATAGCACTGGAGCTTCCCCCACTTTCCCTTCTGAGAAAATCAAGCCTTTGTTGGAGTCTTAAATATTTCATGCATTTTCAGCACTCGCCACTAGTTCAAAAGCTTTACAGAAGCTAGTTGTTTAGCAGTGGCTTAAAATCCTTCTATCTGCCTTAGGAATCAGAAATACTGATTGACCAGTTGGCACGAAGCTGTATGGCAGCTACATAGCTCCAATTGTGCCCAACAGCATGGCAGTGATCCAGTAATCCAAAAGTTATTTGCAGGAAACAGCCTGGGATATACTTCAGGGACAATAAATACACTAAAATAATCCACAATCTGTTTGTAAATTGATAGCCAAAAGTAGAGCAGATGAATACTAAAGGTTTCAAAAAAAACTGTAATACCAGTAACATATTTAATACAATTCTGTTTTCCATAGGGGTTGATATTTGCTACTTACTACTTCTGTCTTTCTAGGCCAAAATCTGGATTAAACCCCTGCTCCGATTAGAGCAGGGTTACATCTACTGCTTTTAACACAGCTCATCATCTTCCCTGGTGACTAAGATAGATGTGGAACAGCTTTATTTTCCAATCGGTGCTATTTTTTTTTGGTAGGGTGACGTGATTTGAAGTCGTGGTTGCCACAGACATCAGAGTTTGACATGCATTGCTCCTGAGTCACCTTCTGCATACCTAGCACGTGCCATGGTGATGAGCCTCTATGCAGGATGACCACAAATCTCCTTAGATTTAGGAATAAGGTTGAGATTTTTCCAAACTGACTAATTTTGTAAAGTGATATTTGGAATTAAAAGCACATTGTGTGCACAATTCTTGGCTGATATTAAGAATTTCAGTTTAAATCTCAGATACAGCAGAGTAGTTATGTAGTAAAGTAACTCTGAAGAAGAAAAAGTAGATGCACTCATCATGGTTTGGGCTGAGGTTAATAAACAACCGAAAATAAAAGAAACACTAATATTTTGGAAATAAAAAAGAAATTAGGATTTAGGGTGTTGCTTGGACCCTCTAGGGTCTGACTTGGGGATTTTAACTGTTGACAATGTGACTGCTCACAGCTGTATAAACCAGCACGTACTCAAGAGCAGATAATTTGGGCAACCTGGGCTATTTATTACATTGTGTTATAAGAAACTATGTTTATCACATTTTAATTTATAAATTACTCTGACACCCACACCATGTAGCTGCCTGAAAATAAACCAGCATTGATTAAAAATAGAAGTCTTTCACACACACATTTGCAAACCCTGCCAAAATAGATCAACTGCTCTATAAATCCTCAAGGCCTGCTACAATTTTAATCAGAGAAGTGTTAGTTCTAGACTTGGATTCCACTTTCCTGGCCACTTTTCTAGACTCTTTTGAGGAATACTGCCTGGCTGTTGTTTGTAAACAAATCCATCAGGGTAGCTCTTCACACTATAACCACGAGATGATATCAGCCACGTCATCAGCTCAGTCATTTCCTTCTTCCCTTCGGTCTTCTGGGAAGGAGGATTAAATCCTACTTTGTGCCTTTCTTTTTCCATCTAACACATAACATCTTTGAAACAGCAATTGTATCCTTTTACTTGCCAGTTTAGCCAACCTACCTAAGCTGCCAAAAAAGTTTTGCTACTAAAAATATGATTCCCTGAAGCAAGCACAGGAGTTCATTGTGCAGTGCAGGGGTGTTTGATATGGCTAGGGCTGGCAGTGGATGGTCTCCTCAAGGAGCACCTGCCCAGGCGTCCTGGTTTTTAGCTGGAACAGAGCTGGTTTCTTTTTAGTAGCTAGAATAGTACTGTGTTTTGCTTTCAGCCTGGGATTTGTTATGAGCAAAACACTGATAATATACCAGTGTTTGCATTTTTCTCACTGGAAGTGAAGGACTTCATCTTTTGTCAGTCTACAAGCGCAAAAATCTAAGGGAGTGAGGAATATTTAAATTAATAAGCTAAATTGATGTTTGGATATGCCAATGGGATAGTCTGTATCATGTCACATCATGCTCAGTATATTAGTGAGGGTCTCTTCCTCTCTGGCTTTTACTCGGGCTCTCGCTCTCCTGGGATTGTCACTCCTCCGGGATCGTTATCTGGGAACGGGCCGGGCTTGGTCGGTGGGTGGTGAGCAATGGCACTGGGCATCACTCATTTTCATATTTTACTACTGTTATAATAATCATTACTATTTTCATATTAATATTATTTTAAGTTTTATTTTATTTCTATCATTAAATGTTCTTATCTCACCCTACAAGTCTCCTTACCCTTGCCCCCCAACCCTCTCCCTGTCCCCTGGGCTGGGGGGCAGTGGCTGAACAGGTGTGTTGGCTGC